ACCTCGCGGTCGCCGCCGCCAGCACTCAGAGAGAGAGAGAGATGGAATACGGGGAGAGACGTAGATATGGATAGGGTTTGGTCGAGGGTATTTTGGTCATTACAAAAATTAATTGTATTTCTTTCTTTTTTAAAAAATGAAAACTTAACAGTGTTAAAAAACAGGGCCAAACGGAGTGTTCGTTTTAAAAATGTAGGGTCAAATAAGCAAACTAGAAAAAGTAGGGTCATATTGGTAGTTACACTTCAAAACAGGGTCAAATAAGCAATTGTCCCATACTAAATACCATATTAACACAGCCTTAACTTTTGTATTCATTCAAACGGTTGTATCTATCTATTGATACATTAATAAATATATTCGTCAAATGAATTTTTTTTCAGTCGTATAGAGTATCATGAATATACTTCTGAAATGATTGTAACAAAAGTTTTGATGGATAGACTTAAGAGGTGATTCATTACCTAATGCATATGTAAAAAGCCAAACTGCCTTTCTAATAAATAATGTATCATGGAGGCCTGTTCTCGAATAAACACGATCACTATTACCCAACGCCCAAAAAATGTTAAACTCTCAACAAAACCGTCCAAGAAGAGCTGCAATGTTTTACAAGCTGATCTAGAAATCATCCCAACACATCGAAAAACTGTAATTTGTACAAGCAGATTGAGGAGTGAGCAATCGAGTAAACGAGCTAACCATGGGCAATGAGATCGACACCTCCGTCTTGGCCTTCTTGGCCTCGAGGCTCCAGATGCACTACTCGAAAGGTAGGCCATCACCTCATCGTGAGGCGGCGGAGATGGCATGGACGCCGGGAGATCCAAGCTGGCCAGCGGCGGGGGATCCCCCCCATCTACGTGCGCCTCCTCCTAGTCCTGCCTCCCCTGCATTGCGTGCACTCGGACACCGCAGCGCTGTTGAGTTATGATCCAAATTCATTTGCACTTAATAAAGACCAGCTTCTGCCGAAGTAAAGCGGAGGCCCGTCGCCGGAGGCTTGGGCCACCCATTGGGTTCTGCGGTACGGATTGTAATACCTGTTAGGGTTTCACCTCATATATATACCTCTTGTAAGCCGCTGTGCGGTGTTGTACCCTCACCCCGATACAGTGAAGATATTTTGCTGGCTGGCGCTAGTGGTTTTTTTCTTTCCTACTTTGAGAGGCTTTTTTCACGTTAAATCTTGTGTCTTCTACGATTAATCTACTATTCTTTGTCGTTTGTTTGCCCATCGTTTTCTAACGAGCGCTGCCTCTGACTTGCCACTGCCGTGTTGAGCCCAGTGCTGCCAAGCGCCGGCCACCGCCTACATGTGCCTTCCTTTCCACGGACAGGCTCGGCGGCTCCCACGACCTGAATGGAAGGAAGGAGAGGGAATTTGGGATGAAGAAGGAAGAATAGAGAGAGAGTGGAGGAAGTATGACAGGTGGGTCTTTCTTTTCTTTGATGCTTGGGATGCCATGTCCGATTAGATTGGACTTAAATAGGACTCAATGTGGACTTATTCCAAGCAGTAGCGGTAGTAGTGCAGGCCTTGGGCCTTGGCCCATGCAGCAGCAAATAGCCTAGCTAGGTACTCCCAATAGAGCAGCAAGAGCTAGCAAACAGATCGGCAGCAGCAGCTAAAGTTTAGTCCTATTTGGAGAGAATGTCACCAACTTAGAAAACTAGAAAAGAGATGGATGCTGAGGATTTAACACTGGTTCGAACGATGACGAAAATACGGTGTTACATTGTGGGTGTGATCTAGCAATTTTAGGAACCGGTAAACCTTAGATTCCACAAATAAAGAAAAAGTCGACTCGAAACATGGGATGAATCGACCAATGCTTTGAGCAACCCCATCACCCCAAAACCCATCGGCATCCAAGAAAAAAAAATCGCAAAAAATAAGCATCAGCTCTAATCGAGCCAATGCTTTGAGCACCCCATCACCCCAAGATCCAGCAGCATCCACAAAATCAACATCCAAGAACAAGATCATAGAATCAGGATCAAGAAGAAAATTGATATTCACACATGAACCACAAAAATCCATGAACGATAAAATCCAAGAACATGGAGAGGAGGACGTCGTAGGGAAGGCCACCGTAGCCACCGCCCGCCACCCACCGTGGGTGAAGTCGAGCTTGTGGAAGCCAACGGCCCATGGCGAGATGGAGGCCAAGGGAGGGAGGTAAGGCGAAGGGCATGGATGTTGAAGAGGACGTCGAGCGAGCCCTGAGCTCGTGGCGGCTGCATCTGGCCACCCCTGAGTCACCTTGTGTGGAGATTATGGGTACCGCATACCCACACGGCATGGTTATCCGACTAGTTATAGAGGATAGCTTATATCTATGGAATATGTAATAGATCATGACTTGGGTATTACGTTTCCTTTTATATTATGGAGCGGCCTAAAGTCCTCATTTGATAATATTGTAAAGTAGATTTAGGAAACCGATACCGTATTGGTTAAGGTTTCTATCTTGTAATCCTGCCCCCATCCTATATAAGGTGGGCAGGAGGCCCTCTAGGGGGCATGAGCACATATGATCGTCAGATCTATACTACACCCGGTGGATTCAAATCCCCAAACAGGAGTAGGGTATTACCTCTCATTGAGAGGGCTTGAACCTGTCTAAATCCTTTGTCTCCGCATCCATCCACTTTTAGGTCCCGTGTGCTACCCCCTTTTATTATTGCCGAATTCATGTTTCGACACCTTGTGAGGGAAGGGCACCACCGATTGCTTGGGGCTCATCACCATGGAGCAACCGGAGCTCAATGTTGATGGGCCAACCACCCCCCGCCTCCCCGAGCTCATGACAACAAGATTTAGCCACCTCCGAAGCACGTGGATGTCGGATCTGATTGCCCCTGAGCCAGCCGCCTGCATGGAATTATGTTTGTCCCATTTTAGTTTTTTTTTTTTTGCTGAGGTCGAGTACATGGAGGTTGGAGGCCATGGTGTTGGTGGAGGCGTTTGCTTGTGGTGGTTGTGCTGTCCCTATTCTACAAGGATGTTTGATCGAATTCGGGCTCCAGGGTTATAAGCAGACGACGAAGACAGTTTGTTTCAACAGATATGGAGCGACCTTGCTCAACAAGAAGCGGCGCGGCTAAGGGATGGATGGGTGTGGAGGGGAGGCGGCAATTTGGGGAGGGGGAGGTGGGGATGGGGAAGAGCTGACACCAACACCCTCGTCACTGATGCGCTCGCTAACGGTGTGCAACTACGTGTTGCTACAGGCGGTGGTGGTTGAGGACCGGAGCCCGATGACAAGGAGCTGGTGCAATCCAAGCACCCATCACACTTGCACCCGCACCACCTCCATGTTACTGCCATTGGCCTGTACACCTACTCATCCTCACACTTTCCTTTGCCATCTACTTGGTGTTGTTCCTACTCCATCTCTCTCCCTAATCGGTTGATTTAGGGGCGTCAGTCAGACTCTGGTGAGATGTTCGGCAAGCTTGCGAGATGGGGATTCCACTAGCCAGGATCTAGCAGCCTCAAATCAAATTTCTTGTCACCTCTTCCTTAACGTCCTTCATCGATCCAACAAGACAACTCTTTCACGACCATCTGAGTACCGTTGCCACTATGGTTATCTGGATTTTGGATTCATCTTTCTATTTGTTTCTTAATAGCTGCAACCATACATGATTTGCCATTTGGGTAGAGCATGGACCACTTGTGCAACTCTAGTTGACAGGATTGCATTCTAAGCTCTTTAGATTCAATGGTGAACTCCGCTGAAATCCTTTGCCGAGTCTGATAACGCTTATATACACCAAAATCTATGGCTCAGCAAGAAACCTCTGCTTTGAGCCGTTTCCGTGGAGATAGCCAAAAGAGATTGCCAGCCTGTCAAGTGGTACACACGTTGAATGCGGTCCAAGGATGTCAAGTAGTATGCATGTTGAATGAGATCCAAGGACGTAGTTGTCGTGGCAATGCCGTAGCTCCAAATCGACCTGCTACTCTACTATTGTTTGGTTTCATTAGGAATAGATTGCTTCCTTAGTTCAGTAAACTGAGCCCTCCATAAAGTTGCATGGTTCAATACTTTCAACTAATAAGTACGACGATGTGTTGTGTGTGTGTTGGGGGGGGGGGAGGGGGGGTGTTAATGTAACCTGCCCCCTCAATCTGTCATGTGTAATAAAAATGTTACTCCCTACATTCTAAAATATAGGCTCAATCACTTTTAACACAAAGACCAATTCAAAATTTACCTTGATGCATATAAGCAATGTGATCGGAGGGGGAAGGGGTTAATGGTGTAGGATTTAAAGTGCCAGTAATATATGCATGCATGCACGTATTATATTATGAGACACGATAAAAAGTATCCGTGACTTATATTTTTGAGATGGAATGAGTATGAGTTCTGAAAATAATTTTAAAAAAATAATACAGTGGCCCAGCCAAATTTCCCTTGACACGCACCTAAATTAGGCGCACCCAGTTATCACACCAAATCTGTCAGTTGAGAGTTAGGACCTCTCTGGCAAGTAGACGTGGCCTAAGTGACTAAAAGGCAATGTATTTCTTATTAATTGTCTCTCATGTTCATGTACATGAAGGGTTTAGGGAAAGATAGTTAAATCATGGAGGGTTTTTTTTGGTTAATGTGCATATACGTAGGGATATCTGAAATTTACTAAAAGAAAATATTTCACGTGTACGATATACATTATCGTTAACTTCAATGATCATCATCGAGCTGCTTTTCACGAGTTTGCACTTTGCATGACAAGGCACCACATGTTTTGTCACAGTCGTCACATGTCTCATCTCTGCAACCAACTTCTCTTTAGCTCGAAAATAAATCAATCTCGTACGAAATATGACACATCATTATTTAAATAAATCAATCTCATATGAGATGTGAGACACATGCTAATAGACATATCTAAATTAATAGTATTAAGATGTATCACATACAATATGAGTTTAATATATTTTGAAACGCAGGAGTACCCATAAATATGTATGCGTACAAACATGGAGCAGCAGTCTCTCGTGCTGCCAAGTGACAAGTGCAACAATAATCGTTCACATAGGGAAAACAAAAAAGAAAGGTAGAAGCCCCACTCTCCTTGTACGTACGACAGCATGATCGGCGGCGCCGCCAGGCCACCGACACCGCCGGCGGTCGTCGACAAGACGATGTGCGCCGCGTGCGACATCCTGAAGCTCCTACCGACAGGCACCGTGCTGGCCTTCCACGAGCTGGCGCCGTCCTTCACCAACCACGGCGGCGCGTGCGGCGCGGCCAGCCGGTACACCACCGCGGCGCTCATCGCCGCCTGCACCGCGTCCTGCGTGCTGCTCTCCTTCACCGACAGCCTCGTCAGCCATGTCGACGGCCGCCGCCTCTACTACGGCGTGGCCACCCTCCGGGGATTCCGCCCGTTCAACTTCGAGGGGACGCGCGAGGAGATGGAGGAGAGGTTCGGCGACCTCCCGGGGATGAAGGTCAGGGCGCTGGACTTCGTGCACGCGCACGTCTCGGCGGTCGTGTTCGTCGTCGTCGCGCTCGGCAACGCCGACGTGCAGGGCTGCCTCTTCCCCGACGCCGGCACTGGCTTCACGGAGATGTTCAGGAACCTGCCAATGGGATTAGGGTTGCTGGCCAGCATGGTGTTCATGATCTTCCCTACTACCAGGAAGAGCATCGGCTACACGGACATGATGCCGCACAAGGAAGACTACGGGAAAGGAGGTAATAATATTCCTGGCCAGACCACGCCGTCGGTGTGATGAAGTAAACATAACATGATACTCCATTTATACTTTATAGGAAGGTATAAATGACTGTACAGTGTAAATCCGTAGTGGTGTGTAGAAGTTGGTATATATATTGGACATATATCCAAGCATGGAACTGTAGAATGTACTCATGTGGGGCTTTAAGCCCTCTTTCTTTATATCTAAACTAGCATATATGTGGTGTAAAAAAATCATCGGAAATTACATATATCTCGCGCGTTGCAGCGGAATTTGTAGGTAATTGTCAAGGAAAACATATTTGGATAAGTTACCTACATAAGATTAGACAGAGTAATGAAAATTGTGGATTTTATTTATTACCATGCTTGATTGTTCGTACATACATACATACATACATACTATGGACTGGAGCAAACCTCAACATACATACATACATACATACATACATACATACATACATACATACATACATATACACGGTGCAGTGCACGTACGGCAAACGACAGCGGCGCACAGGAGACGATGCGCCGTGCACGAGACATTGGTGCTGTGCCGAGTCCTTCACGTCACGGCGTTGCCTCACATAGGCATTGTGCGCGGCATGGCGCACGACTGCACGAGAGAAGCAGGGCAGCAGATCGGCGGCTAGCGTTAGGGGCGAAAGGGATTAAGTCGGAGCGAGTGGCGGCTCGGCTCGATGGCTTTTGCCAGTCCAGTTCGGTCGGTTTAGGCCAAAGCAAAGCCGCCTGGAGAAGGGGAGGAAGACGGGTTTGCCTCATGGCCGAGCTGGGTCGGCTTGGTAGGCTTGATGGGCTAGGCCAGGGGAAATGGAAAAAGAGAAGAAAAGAGCTGAGCGACTCAAGTTAGACTTTTTAGAAAAAAAACAAGAGGATTAGGGTTTGGGTCTAGATGAGTTGGGCTAGGCCCGCAAGGGACAACATTAGACTTTAGCTTACAAGTTTGAAAAATTGATTATCAAAATACTTTAGTTTACAAAGGTTTTAAAAAAATACTTATTAGTTTCTTTTATTTGTAAATAAGGATTAATCCTTTAAAAGGATTTTTTAAAAAATATTTGATTTTATTTGTAAAAGAATTCATTAAAGGGATATTAATTAATAAAAGGGTTTTCAGGAAAGTAATTAGTATTTGCCTTTAGGTGAAAATATTTTCTTGATATTAATTCATAATCATGGTTGTTTAATAAATATTATTTTAACTCCACAATTGAATTTAGAATTTGCATTTAATTTCTTATTTAATTTATTTTGGCAGCATGAGGTAATTTTGAAAATCCAATAAATACCAGCATAAGGGAATTTTCAAAAAAAAATATTTGTCCAAATTTTGGTTTCCACATTTTAAATTCGAAATTTTCGGGATGTTTCATGCTAATATCTAGTACAACTCTAAATCCTAAACTATAACCGACTACGTATATGTATCTGACACAAATCTAACAGAAACATTGCTCATATTCTTGTTCACATACCAAGCCCTTGTATTTCCCATTAGCTTTATGTGTTGGGCGTGCGCTCTCCTTGTCATGTTTAACAGAGCAGCTTGAAACTATTTTTTTTTCAGGTAGTGGATATCAATCCGGCCTATACATCCCTCAAGGATGTAAATTACTAGCTCAATATCCTTTGTATTATAACCCTTTAGCTTGTCAATGAATTGCCGTTTCGATTGGGGGTAGTTCATACTCGTTAGAGACCAAACTGTGGGTTTGTTGTTCATCCGGAACTTTTGCTGAACTGTTGCAGGCAATGAGGATGCCCTGCTCCAATGCCTTCAACAGCGCTTCATCGCTAGTTCTATGTGTTGAACACGTAATAATAAATTTTCATATTGCAATTCACGATAAATGTATCTTACTCCATCTGAAGAGTTCCACGAGCTGCAGATTCAGATAGTGGAATTGTTCTTGATAAGATCCCTGCAACCAGCATATATGCATTTCAAAATGGTCCTGTCTATGCAGCATAGGTCACCAAGTGTCCCTTAGCTCTTCACTCGCTCAAAGGACACTAGCTCTAGCCACGTAGCTGATATATGAAAAGAGAACAGGGTAAAAGTCGTAATATACACAAACTAAAATAGGACATATATATATATATTCCCTTTTCTAGTGTTTGACTATTTTTAGATGCTTTGCTGTACAAATAACTTTTTAGGTCAATTCTTATAGCGCATTCTTTTCCAGAAATTTGGTGTAATTCGCATTTGTCATTGGCTCCGATGAACAGCAACTCAACAAGCTATTGAACAGTTGACGTTCAACCTTACAATGATAATTATTTCATTGATGCGATATGGAATGAGAAGTATACGATGGCATGTAAGAATCTGGTAAAAAGAATATAACAGCAATATATGTTATTCTTGTTGAGAGATTGATACTACTAGAGAGGGGCCATGATATCACAAGAGGCTTAAACTGTACAAGCATGGCATCTTTTCTAAACATGCAGAAGTTATTTTTTTAATCTTAAAGAGAATATAACTTAAATGGAAGGTACGAGAGAAAAATATGTTTTTCTTGCTAATTTACCAGCTGCCAGACCAGTTTTTATGAATGAAAGACATACCAACAAAATAAAATTTTGTTTTACTTTGTTTTGCTTTGGAACTTTTAACAGTCTCTTCGGCTGATCACTGTTGCTGTCATAATTTCAAATGCAAATTCTTGAAAAGTTGTTGTCATTTTTGCTACAGTACAAGCTCAGCTATCTGTTGCTCTTGTTTTCTCTTCACTAGCTGAATGCCGTGCTTTGCTACGGATGATAAAAAAGTATATTAGAATATTGTCTAAAATAAATTAACATGTGTTTTCTCTTAATTGTGTTAACAATTCCTTTGCTATAGGGAACTCTGACCCTAATTTGATTTTATATGTGGGCATCATTTAGATTTGTTTGTTTTTCTAATAATAAGAAGTTCAAGAGCAAATTTATAAAATTGACAATGGAAATAGATAGGGTGACAGATTCACTACCAGCACCATTAATTTCTTTTAAAGGAGTATAGATGTTCTATGTGCTCGTCTTAACAAACCTTACTTTTTTTACATGATTACATCATTTAATTTGAATTGAAATTATGAGTGCAGTTTAAAGTGAATCAATAAATTAAATTAACTTCCCAAAAAGTAAATTAATAAATATTATTAACTGAACTTTGAACATGCATTGTTCAAAGTTACCTTCATCTCTATATATGAACATCCATTCTACAAAGTTTGTCATCACTTCATCTTGAGTATGCCACTAATTGAAGAATGTTGTTTCTAACCGACGATCTATAGATGCTTACATGCTTTGTAGGAGCGATTTGACCAAAGTTAGGAATACTTTTCCATTAAAGATTCCCAGAATTTCTCTGGGATACAATCGATCTGCCAATTGCAGCAGCCAGCCCCCCCTCTTGCCTGTAAGTATCACACCCATGTGTAGCATTGTTCCTTTCTTTTCACTAGCAAGTTACAAGCTGCCACATAGCAGATCTCTTGATACCCACTTTGCCTGGAATCCCTACCCTCTTTCAGATGCTCCTTATCCATACAAAATGCTGACTTTCTGGCCAGTACTGAAAGAACAAGAGAGAAAGAAAAACTCATATTACAATAGGCGACTTCGGAACGCGGCATCGCATACCTCTAACCTCTCCATATCTGATGAGGTGTGAGGACCTTGCTTTTTGTGAGATTCTAATTCTAGACATACGGGATAAGAGTTCCTGTTGAGAGGCCATTGCTGTTCATGAGAGCCTCTGAATGGAATCAAAGCTTCTCTCAACGTTGACTTGGCTGACGATGATATGATTCCTTGGGGATGACCACAACACATACATTTGGTGGCTCTGGCCTAATGTCAGTGTTGCTGATCAATTGGTAATGTTGTAAACCAAGAGGGTGATGTTGTCTGAATTTGAATAAATTGATTTTCAGTTGAACGGTGAATCCGGGATGACAGGAGACAATATTTGCTGAATTTCCAAGCACAGGTATAGATTATCCAGAGTGCTGAATTTCCACAGTTCAGTTTCTTAATAAAACACTTTGCATACTTCCATTGGATACTGGACAGCAAAAGCAACTATACAATAGGACAAAGAAAAAAAAATTCAGAATGAATTGATCTGTACTTAGATCTTAGTAGGAAAGAAAAAACAACTCATATTCTGATGTTGGCGTTGATTTGCATTCCTCATACCTGTGACCTGTGCATTTTACATCATCAAGTTTGTTATTCTCACGCAAAGGTCTAAGCCGTACAATCTTACGCAGACATTATCCATACCACACCTAATGGCTGAAAGGCAAAATTCTCTTTCTCCTCAAAATTTTTCTCCCTAAGCATGGTACTTCCTAGTTCCTATGCCTTGAGACCTTGACCCTGGTAATTTTGTTGGGATTTGAGAGATTATATATCAGCAAGCGCTGCTCTCTTGAGTAATAAAGAAATAATTTGCATTAGTTAGTCAGTCCATGCTATTTATAACAGAACATTTTTCATATCATTCTCGTTCTTATTCATAAAGGTGAAAAACTAGTAAAAGCAGATTTATCAGCAAATTCTAGCAAGTTGCTTTGTTCTGATTCCTTCACAGTTATTTGATATTTTCCTTGGATTTTCTACAGAATTCCATAGTATTTTATATCTAAGACTACAGGCTTGTTCAGATTGGTACCATTTTAAACCATACCATTATTTAGTAAAATTGACAATCATGTTGTTGCATTTAGTTTCTTACCAAATATTGGTAATGTCTATGAAATTTTGGCAATATTGTATTAAGACTATCCTATCAAAATTTGGCAACGTTGCAATTTACCAAAATTTTGACAATACCAAATTTTGGAAAGATTCATTTTGGCATTAATCTGAACACCACCACCAGCGTCTCTCTCTCTCTCTCTCTCTCTCTTCTGACTTAGCTTTGTCAAATATGATAGAATGGAACTACTAAAAGTAAGAGGAGGGTCAAGGCCTTATCAACACCTCCCAAGGACCATCTCGGCATCAGTTTGCTGCATCACCATTGTCATCCATATATTCCATATTCCACACTAAATCCATCGATCCGTGGACCGTGGTGTCGCGAGGAGCAAGCTTGCTTGGCCATACATTATCCGAACCTTCGTCTTTTCCCCGATCGAATTGCCGCAAAATCTCATGTCGTGCACGCACATTTTCCATGGCTATATAAGCAGGCAGGAGGCTCCTCACCTATGCACAGCTCAAAGCAAAGCAAAGCACAACACAATCAAAGCCTCATACAAGAAGCTAGCTAGCTAGTACTCAAGCTAAATACCTAGCTAGCAGTAGCAGGCGACCAGCTGCATTTTTCCAGAGGAAAAATCTCTCAGTTTAGCTTAATTAATTAGCTCTTGGGAGAAGAAGGCAAGAAGAAAATGGACAGGGTGAACAGGCTGGCGGCGCAGCGGGCGGTGGTGATCTTCAGCATGAGCTCGTGCTGCATGTGCCACACCGTGACGCGCCTCTTCTGCGAGCTCGGGGTGAACCCGACGGTGGTGGAGCTGGACGAGGACCCGAGGGGGAAGGAGATGGAGAAGGCGCTGGCGAGGCTCCTCGGCCGCAGCCCCGCCGTGCCGGCGGTGTTCATCGGCGGGAGGCTCGTCGGCTCCACCGACAAGGTCATGTCGCTGCACCTCAGCGGCAACCTTGTCCCGCTGCTTCGCAATGCGGGTGCCCTCTGGGTGTAGCACCAACGACGCAACTATACCTACCAGCGACTGGTTCTTGATTTGGACTGATACCGTGGCGCAGAATAATTTTATACGGGTACTTTGGTTTGTATCAGGCAGGTCAGGTATATCTAAGGGAAAATAAATAGTACGTGCAGGCCTTTTTTGCACTGCAATACTAGTAAATCTATAGAGAGTGGGGAATTAAGTGTGTCATGTCAGCCGCCTGTAAGGCTCTTTTGAGATGTAATAATGACACATATCCGTTTAATGGAGTATACCTCTTTTGTCGATCGTTGGTCTTTTCGTCTGTGTGATTTTTTAAAAAGCTATCTAATCCAGGGTTTTCACTTTCGGTTTGCATCGAAATTTAGGGTTTTCACTTTCGGTTTGCATCGAAATTCTGAAGTTTTGGTGCAACTGAAATTTCCAAAAATTTTGGGAAATTTTCAACTTTTTGTCCGAAATTATTTGAAAATTTTACCAATTTTTGACTGAATTTGAATACATTTTGATCAAATTCACAAAAGTTTGAAAAAAAATTAGGGTGCAAATTTTGCTTGCCGGAAGGGGGGGGGGGGCAAAATTACTAAAATTTCAAAAAACTTAAACCGAAATTGAAATCCCTGATCTACTCTAGCACAAACACATATATGCTTAATTAGGAAAACCATCTCCAAACTGGTAGGACGATTGGTTAATTAGGGACTTGGGGTATACCTCTTGGGATGTGGATCAAGAACCTATAACACAGCGTCTTCAAACTCGCATTAGTTCACTCTACACGCTGAGTGGACCCACATTCACATAATCACATAGCAACTCGCTTATATTTTCGTTTTTGTTTCGTGTAAAATGGTTAATCTAGTGATATTGTGTTTGGAGTGAATTGGATATTTAAGCAGTCTCAAACCTATGAAGACTCTCCATATAGGACTATTATCACTAAATGAACACTTGGACCTTACAGGTCTAAACCGAAATAAGAACACTCATGAGCTGAAACAGACTAAACGGGTTGGAGTATTATAGAACAATATATTTTTTGGACAGTGGTTTGGGACAAGAGGAGATTGAAATAGGCTAGGTGTGTTGCAGCATGGAGGCTAGAGAGCTCGAGCAATGGTTGCACGAGAAGAAACGCACTCAGAAATCTAGGGCCACGTTTGTTAGCTGGGCTAGATGATTGGCCCATTAACAATAACTCGAAAGTTTTCATCTGCTACCGTCACAACCATCCATCGCACAATCGTCCCTTCCCACCACATCACCAGTACATCGCTGCACCAGGTAACACCATGGATGATATCCTATACCAAGTAGCGACCCGTCGATTCCTGAGACTCCCTTCCCCCTGTCAAAATTCAGCGGCACTATTCTGAAGGCCGTAAACACGGAATAATTTTGAACAAGCAAAAAAAAAGGCGAGGAATGTGATCTCCTGGTCAAAAACGATTATCTCCTGGTCAAAAAAGATTATCCAAGTCTACCAAGCTTGTGAACGTAAGTTAAAATCCGTCCCACGTAATTGGTACTTTATTTTATGCCGATTGACATCTTGCTTCGTGTTTGTAGAGAATATACCAGCAATTCCAAGCTAAGTCTGAAACCCTAGAAAGACTTATCTTGATACTTTGGAGTCGGCCAGGAAAGAATTTAGGCCCCTTTTAAAACAAAGGAAAAACATAGGAATTCCAAAGGACTTATACCATGTGGAAAATAATCCTATGAGACCCTTTGAAATAAAGGATTGATTTCTACCAATTCCATTGACATTCCTATGGAATGGACTATTGTAGGAAATTTTAGAGGAAAATTAGCATGAGGTCTTACCTCATGTTTTCTTCTTCCCGGGTCTTGAATTCTTATGTTTTTCATGTGTAACTATGAAATGGTAGTTTTGAAACTTTCTTGTGTTTTCAAATCTCATAGGAATCCAATGAACATGACATTCTATTCCTACATTTTTTCTATTCCCATGTTTTGACAATCCTGTATTTCAAATGGGCCCTTAAAGAAGTTAAAGAAGCCGCCAAAGCTAGAGAGCATCAGCTGAGGAATGAGATCGGCCAGCTTCAGGATATAAACTTGGAATACCGTGGATTAGTCAAAGGTAAGCAAGCAATCTCAAAAACTTCCAGCTTCAGGATATAAACTTGGAATACCATGGATTAGTCAAAGGTAAGCAAGCAATCTCAAAAACTTCTAGCAAACCCTGTCTCCTGAAGTTAAATAGGTCCAAAAGACAAAACGGTTATCTACTAAAAACCAAAGGGAGTAGTATTTAGACTGCTTTGAGTCAGGCTTGGGCTAACAAAACACTACCTAATAGGTAAGCCGTTGGCGAAGTCACAAGGCCCTCTACTTTTCATTATAAAACCGATAAACCAGAAAAAGATGGATTGTTTTGCGAAAGAATCTTTGGACCCATAAAAAGCAGAATTTGTGCTTGTGGAAATTCTCGAGCAAGCGGAGCTGAAAACGAAGACGAAAGATTTTGCCAAAAATGCGGAGTAGAATTTATTGATTCTCGGATACGAAGATATCAAATGGGATACATCAAACTCGCATGTCCCGTGACTCATGTGAGTCATTTTTTGACTCAAAGCAGTCTAAATACTACTCCCTTTGGTTTTTAGTAGATAACCGTTTTTTCTTTTGGACCAAGAAAAAGGACTTCATTAAATCACATGGGACAAATTACAGTCGTTTTCAATCAACCAAGAAACAGAATTGGACTCAAACCCAGTTCAGAAGCCTGAGTAATCGTCCCTTCTAGCTTTGTTTGCTAATTCATGGCTAATCAAATTTTGTTCCCGCTGGATCTTCGTAATGGAAGTCGTCCTTTCTCCTGATCAAAGCCATCTTGCTTCTCTGACTAGAAACGCCAGGGTTGAGCAGTCCTCCTCCTTATCAGTGAGTAGATGCACAACTGAGATGTAGTCTGTTTCAATTGCAACCGGCAGCAGTGTCCATTGCAGTGCTAACCGAAGGCCCTCCACACAGGCGGCAAGTTTAGTCTCTAACGCTGAAGAGCAGTTTGCAAGTGACTTGCACATCGTAAAGAGGGTTTCACCATTGTAGTCCCGAAGAATTGCACCGATCCCAGCACTACCATCGGACTCAAGGAAGGAGCCATTGATGTTCAGTTTTGCCCATCCTGAGGGATGTCGTTTCCAGCATTCTTTTTGTTAGTGATATGCTCTAGAGGCAATCATAGAGATTATTGTATCACATACTATGTTTACATATTTTTCCGACTTTGTTCCTTGAAGTAGATAACTTATTATTGGTTAATGAATATGTGATTCTTTCATGAGACTCTTTATGTTGTTTGTTACTATTTTTAAAGGATCCTGATCAAATAACATATGTGGAACAAATAAGTTTAAATGATCAGCACATGTATTAATTGATGATTATATCTCATGGATCATGGTACAGAGATATCAAATTAATAATGTGAATACATGTTGGGGAACATGTTGTTGGATAGACCCAACATGAGACACTGTAAGAGCCATATGTGTTGTATCATCAGTGATCTCATTTAGTGTTGGTGTTGAATCCTAATTAGACCTGAGATTATCATGATTCCCAACATGTGTAGTAGCTTACTTAGGGACTGCTAAACGCTACTCCGTAATTGAGTAGTTATAAAAGTAGTTTACGGGTATGCTGTGAAACATGCAGTAGGATATGAATAATCAAGATGAGATTTGCCCCTCCTATGGAGAGATATCTCTGGGCCCCTCGATGTTATAGATTATGGAAGTGCATGGCCATGCCAAAGGTGATTGAGGAGTCAATCACAGGTTATATAATCTATCACAGGTTCGAGCGAATGATTGAGCTATTAAAGGATGGCACATATCTAGCCTTGAGCTTAATCGATATCGTGAGGCGAAGGGGTTCAAACAAGTATACACTAGAGGTTCAGCCGATATGATCTTTATGTATGTCCGGTGGGTCAATACGTTCTGCTAGGGACCGCTGTTGACACGTGGACCGAAAAGGAGTTTTCGGGTTATAGCTGAGTGTACATGAACCTACAGGGTCACACGCTTAATGGGCCGAAATAAGGGGATTGGATGGAGATCCAATATAAGCTTAATTCGGATAGGGATCCGAATAGGAGTCCTACAGGCCTTGGAGGCCCGAGTTATGGATCCTATATATTCGTGAGGGGTGTAATCGGCGGAGGTATTGCATCACGTGAGAAACCCTAGCCGTCACTCCCCTCCCCGGGCAAAACCTTAGCCGCGCGCGGGTGCTAGCACATCTGCGCGTGTCGTTCCGTCCCTGTACGTGTGGATACCGGTAGAGGCGCCACTGCTTTGCGGTGCTGATGGGCGTGGGAGTACGGCGAGGAGAACGCACGAGGAGGATAATGACGAGCTGGTGCGATCGACTACTTCCTCTGTATCGACGCGCGCTACTTTGCGAGAGTTCCTTCGACTTCTTAGCGCCTTCTTCCGCTACACAGCGCGTCGAGTGGTAACGATCTATGATCTAATACTTGCATGGTTCCTAGTTTACGTGATAGAAAATTTTGATTTATGCTATCGTAGTCTACGCGTATCCCGACACTTTTGGCTTATCATCCTTTTGCGTCCGGCAAATTGTGTCGCCCTGGATCTGCTTCGCCTTTACCAAGTCACTCCTTTGGCCATTCTTTATTATCAGTTGGCCATTCTTTATTATCAGCAAGGATTGGACGTAGCTTTCCAAGAACCTTTTCGATGCAATTATGGGTGTTGGTCTTTTATCGTGCATTATCTCATTATGAATGTACCAAGCAATCTCAAAAACTTCTAGCAAACCCTGTCTCCTGAAGTTAAATAGGTCCAAAAGACAAAACTATCTACTAAAAACCAAAGGAAGTAGTATTTGAGACTACTTTGAGTTTTAACAAATTTATAATGGCTTGTGAATGAATTATGATGTTACTTTTAAAAAGTGCAAATTTACACTGCCATAGATTATTTATATCATTTAATTCATTCATATGTACCATTGAATAATAATCATATATAGATCATTCTGATATTCAGCACAATCTAGAACAATCCCTAGAGCACCAATGTATCCCAAGAAAATATCGTACTCCCTCCGTCCCAAAATATAAACATTTTTAGCATAGTGACAAGTCAAACATTTTCAACTTTGACCATTAATAACAAAAAAATAAAAAAGATCAATCATCTAAAATTGATGTTACTAGATTTATCATTAAACAAACTATCATAATATGCAACTCTTTTTATTTAAAACATCTTATTTTTATAGATAT